CCATCGTGGACAAATTCATATTGATGATAGCGAACCATGGTCAGTATTTTTAAAATTTGCTTAAAAAAGTTTTAAAAAAATACTCATTTGCTATCATTACCATTTAATAATGGTAATTTAAAAGAAATTAGTGATGCAAGTTTTAGTCCTTGTTAATATTTTGAGGGGTCCACGGGGAAGAAACTTAAATTGGGTTATGGCACATGAATTAGGCCATGCATTAGGCCTTCCTCATAGCGAACATGAATCTTTGATGGCATCACATTATCAAGGATTCTTCGATACAGTACCAAAACTGTTCCCCACTGATATTTCTGCTATACAATCACTGTATGGTTCGTTCGAACTCAGACTTCTAAACATTCGTTCAAGCAACTACGAAAGCACACTGCTCACAAACTTTTTTTTCTGAATAACCGAAAATTCGAACTCAAATAATTTTCCAGTTATATGGAACTTGTGACTTTAAAAACCACTTAACACTTGCAGGTGAAAAATTGGGCAGAAAAAATTTTTCGATTGCAGTGGAATCGGCAAGTTTTAACATTAGTTTGCTTGGAATAAAATAAATACTAAAATTTAAATTTGAAAATATTTTGAAAAATCGGAAAATGTACCATATAGTCATCAAACCAATTGCTGCAAAGCCAAAAATTACTTTATCTTATTTATTAAAAACAAAAGATACTTATAAATGTACTCATCTCGCAGAAGCACTAAAATATATATAATATTTCGATCCATACTATTGTTAACATACTTTCCTCAAAACCAAACAGATCTAAATTCCTAGAACTTTGGACTTTTTTACAAATTTCAGTGTGAAAACCACGGATAATAGATATCAGTACAAATTTAGTGGAAAAAATCGCAAGCTTCATTCTGGTACATAGTCACCCACATGCAATCAAATTTGGTAGATAAAAACACCGCTTTAGTTCAGAAGTAAAAACGAGGCTGCGTTGATTAGAAAATTGACATATTCCTACCACACTTTAGAAACACATTCACAAAAAACTGCAAAAATACATTTTGTTCGAAGTTTATTCCATTCTCACATAAAAAGTAATCGTATCTTTGTTGATATGAACAGCATAGAGGATTTGCAAGAAACAGATTATAAGCAGAAAAAAACATAAAATCCATGTAACTACATCTAATGTTACACAATATTCGCAGTAACAAAACGTTTGGGTATGAATTCCTTTCCTGATAACTGAAAAGTGTGCGCAAACTGCAAATTCATCTCGCACGGGAGATATAATTTGGATTCTCAGAGCTTGCGCCGTTCAGATTTTCAAAAGCCCAAAGATTTGTCGGAATGCTATATTCGAATGTTTTTTGTCCCATTTGTGTACGTTTGTCTCTCCAAATGTGCATTTTTTGACCAAAACTCAATCACCATAAATTTGGTATAAAATTCCAAATTAAATACAATAATGAATTTACACGTCGTTTTAGCGTCAATTATGTTAACTTCCATCAATATTATATCGGCAACAAACTCAGGTTAAGAATCTTCCATCGGAGTTTAGTACAATTTTTTCTAGAGATGTACTATTCAAATAACATGAATTCGATTATTTGAATAATACACAATAGTTCCTTTGAATAATTCCACTAACATTCTGAATTTTCATTCCACGTATATCCATGTAATGTTGCAGCATGTCACAGGAAATCGTAATATTTATTTCAACTTTCTTGAAACAAATAATACCAGAATATCATATATATAACCAAAAACAGTAAAGATAGCAGAAGTATTACAGATATTAGGAGTGAATATATTTGAAGTACAATATTAGTAATGACATCAGGAGTACAAAATTCATACAAGTACAATAAAAATAAGAAATAACAAAAACAGAGAATAAATGTTTGACGAATATTTTACAATTTTTATAAACTCGAGACTGTTACAAATAACAATAAATTATGATTATTAAAGTTGTCAATAATGTGCTATCATTAAGACATTGTGTTCCATTTCATAATCAATTAGGTACTTACTAAGGCGACATATCACAACATCGCCCACGATCACTTAGTGCTCTCCATATTTAATTTGAGCGGTTGTAGCAGTTCCATCCTCAACAACCGCATTATTTCGAAATTAACACTTTCCGATCTTTATTAGCGAAACTTCACTTTCCTAAAACAAAATGACTACATTTTGAATATTAATTTTAGTAGTTTTCCATCTACCAAAAGAACAAAATATCTCACTTATTTG